ACGCTTGCCTTAGTTGTAATCTTAAGGTAAAGGTAAAGGGACCCCTGACCATTAGGTCCAGTCGTGGCCGACTCTGGGGTTGCGGCGCTCATCTCGCTTTACTGGCCAGCATGGCTAAGCCGTTTCTGGCGAACCAGAGCAGCGCATGGAAACGCTGTTTACCTTCCCGCTGGAGCAGTACCTATTTATCTACTTGCACTTTGACGTGCTTTTGAACTGCTAGGTTGGCAGGAGCAGGGACCGAGCAATGGGAGCTCACCGCGTCACGGGGATTCGAACCGCCACCTTCTGATGAGCAAGTCCTAGGCTCTGTGGTTTAACCCACAGCGCCACCCGACTCCCTAGCTGTAATCTTAGTTTGTTACAATTATAAAGAATTACAGGAATGCACTATTTCCCCCCCACAATCCATCCAAGGCTCACTGATTTCAGTAGGAGAGTTAAATATGTGCTAAGCCTTTTCAGTGGGACTGAATTTATTGTACTGAGCTTTAAAAGCAGAGTTCTTTTCACATAAATTTTAAACTGTGTTACTTTTCTATTAATTTCTAGCTCCAATTTTATTCAGATGCAAAAGAATGGTATAGTCCACTTGCCAGAATGGGTGGATAAAATATGAAAAATCCAAATGAACTAAATGCCATATTTTTTTAAAACGAGCTGCAATTTTCAGTTGAAGCAAGTCTCATGTTTGGATCCAAATCTGAGTAAGTTCAGACTTGGAGGCTGCTGACCTCTGTAATTTGGTCTGGATCCATCATTAACTTTGATCCGTCATTAACTTCCTCCTTCTTAAGGCAGGTTTTTTGGGAGAGAGGGGGAATCAAGAGTAAGCATTATGCAGCTGTTGAGATAAAGAATAATTTAGAACAATGTATTTCCTTGTAAAGCTCCTCAAAGGACAACTCTTAACAAAATGACTGCGCATGTAATTCAGGCCACACACACAATATGGGTAATATTTAATAACTTCTCAAAGGCAAGATAAACCAATTTTGCTTTAAAACAGAGGGTGGTCTCCAGGTCTTGTATTTATCAAAGAAACATGCACTTTTTATCTGATATGCATACTTTTTGCTACTCAAAAAGAAATGGCAAGGGGAGATCTAGGCATCGGTTTAGAACTCTTTTAAAACATCTATCTATATCCTGGCATGATAGTCAGGATATAGACAGATGTTTAAATAGAGCTGCAAAACTATCAGAAAGCACAGTTCAGACAAATTAAGCACTGCTTTCATTGCTTAAGTCTAAAATCAAAATACACTTACTGTAGAGTACTTGGGATTTGGTGGGTTTGACTGCCAAGGAAAGAAATATGCTTAGAATTACACTGTAACTTTGCTTTTGTTATATTGTCTACCTATAAAAGTTGCAAAAATGAGCCTTAAATGAACCCAACATTAATCCTTCTCTTCTTTTCCTGGATTTTATTTACTGCCAAGGATTCCCCTGTTTTTAGTCATCTCAGCAGATTTAAGGATATTTTTAAAAGAAAGCTTTCTTCCTCCCTTATTCTTTAGCTTGTCCTTTCTCTCATTCTCAGTCAGCCCCCTCTCTTTCTGAGTTAGCCTTCCAACTTTCTTCTTGTAACGAAGTGTGTGTGTACAAGTTGATACTCCTTCAGCTTTTCTCTTTTAAAATTCTCTTTTCTGGGTTAAGTCACAATGTCTGTCTTTGCCTCACAGAGACTTTATCGTGATCCTCTACTATCTAGAGCCATAGTCCTAAGTTACACTCCTGTTTGTTTGGCTAAGGTCCTAGTTTCTGAGCCAGGTCAGTCCTCCAGTTGGAGAGACTTTGATGCCTGACGACGTCTGGGCCTGGGGCAAAATAGTTCCTCTGGTACCAGACTAATTCCCCAAGCCTTCAATGTTCCTAAGAACTCTTAGGACACAATAATCTGTTTCAGATCTGTGTCAGAGACGCATGTGTCTGAGCAATCATGGTCATGCCATACACGTAGATGACCAGACTATCTCCGTTTGAGGTCTCTTGTGCTGTGATAGTTTGGCCATCCACTAACGAACTGTCACATGGCAGGGAGGATTTTGCCATAGCTCAGGTATAGATGTTTAGTAAAGCTCTCTTAGAATCATAGAATCATAGAGTTGGAAGAGACCACAAGGGCCATCAAGTCCAACCCCCTGCCAAGCAGGAAACACCATCAGAGCACTCCTGACATATGGTTGTCAAGCCTCTGCTTAAAGACCTCCAAAGAAGGAGACTCCACCACACTCCTTGGCAGCAAATTCCACGGTCGAACAGCTCTTACTGTCAGGAAGTTCTTCCTAATGTTTAGGTGGAATCTTCTTTCCTGTAGTTTGGATCCATTGCTCCGTGTCCGCTTCTCTGGAGCAGCAGAAAACAACCTTTCTCCCTCCTCTATGTGACATCCTTTTCTATATTTGAACATGGCTATCATATCACCCCTTAACCTCCTCTTCTCCAGGCTAAACATGCCCAGCTCCCTTAGCCGTTCCTCATAAGACATCGTTTCCAGGCCTTTGACCATTTTGGTTGCCCTCCTCTGGACACGTTCCAGTTTGTCCGTGTCCTTCTTGAACTGTGGTGCCCAGAACTGGACACAGTACTCCAGGTGAGGTCTGACCAGAGCAGAATACAGTGGCACTATTACTTCCCTTGATCTAGATGCTATACTCCTATTGCTGCAGCCCAGAATTGCATTGGCTTTTTTAGCTGCTGCGTCACACTGTTGGCTCATGGCAAGTTTGTGGTCAACCAAGACTCCTAGATCCTTTTCACATGTACTGCTCTCAAGCCAGGTGTCACCCATCTTGTATTTGTGCCTCTCATTTTTTTGCCCAAGTGCAATACTTTACATTTCTCCCTGTTAAAATTCATCTTGTTTGTTTTTGCCCAGTTCTCTACTCTGTCAAGGTCCTTTTGAAGTGTGATCCTGTCCTCTGGGGTGTGAGCCACCCCTCCCAGTTTGGTGTCATCTGCAAATTTGATCAGGATGCCCTTGAGTCCATCATCCAAGTCATTGATAAAGATGTTGAATAAGACCAGGCCCAAGACAGAACCCTGTGGCACCCCACTAGTCACTCTTCTCCAGGATGAAGAGGAACCATTGATGAGCACCCTTTGGGTTCGGTCAGTCAGCCAGTTCGGTCAGTCTTCTGTATGGGCTCAACCTGCATGGAGATGGAAAACGTGATTGGAACCTATGAGCTCAGGGAGCAAAAAAAGATATTTGCAGTGATCAGTTCCTGAAATAATCCCGTATTCCAAGTTGTGTCTTAGTGTTGGCTAACAGAAATGACACCATTATTCAATGCTTTCCTAAAAGATCCATTTGCGTTCAGTTCATTTGGTATACAGACAAAGCCACATCTGGTTCAAAAGTCTCCAATGCTGGGTGTTTCACTTGGATGAAAACTAATAAGAGGATTGGAATATAAAGCAGTTCTGGCAACTAATTGCAATATGCTCCCTGGAACTCATAGTTCTCTACTTCTGCTTACACATGTGCTGTCTACAAAATAACTTGTTCCTACAAACTAGTTCTAGATGATTTTAAGCTGACAAACATTTTAGGCCAAATTTCCCTCTCACTTTACTGAGGAATTCCCAAAGTTCAAAATACACTCTGCTGATCAAGTCAAGGGGCTTAACTTGGAAAAAGTAAATGATTTTCCCCCCAGCTGGAGGTCAAAAGACCAGCCTCGGCCTGCTTTTCTATTTCCTAGCATTAATGTTCAAATAAAAATTCCTGGCGCTCCCCATGGCCTTTCAACCGGCCACATCTCTTCATGTCCCCCACCCATCTAATTACTGCAAGCATCACACTTGCCTGAAGAAATCTATTCATTGTTGTTTCCACAAGGAACTTAAGAAATAATTCCCTAGTGTGTATATGTGTGCTCGGCTTGCTAGTCAGATGGAGATTATCCTATTGGTTTTAATATCATTTGGATTCATAATGAACTATTTATTTACTCATAATCAGTTCCATCTGCCCACTGTCCTTCATGTCTCCTCCTATGAGAAAAGGGGTTTTGCACTAAGTATATTAGTGCAATCTCTTTTGATCTATAGCTCTGTGGTGCACTTGCATAGTTCCATTGAAGTCAGTTAGATGTTAATGTGCAAGTGATCCTTGTATAATCTTCTTAGAAGCCACATTTTCTGTTCAGTTATTTGTTTAAATATATTGATTGGGATCCAAAGAAATTCTTTAGGCAAATCTGAGCACTTAAGAGCACCCAGTGGTAGCCCCCCCCACACTTTTTAGCTTTGAACATTAGATTTGCAGGCCATTTCACAAACTGTTTCTAAAACTCTTCATAGAATCATAGGATTGTAAAAGGGACACCCAGGGCCATCTAGTCCAGCCCCCTGCAATGCAGGAAACACAGCTAAAGAATCCCTGGCAGATGGCCATCCAACCTCTGTTTGAAAACCTCCAACGAAGAAGAGTCCACCACCTTCCGAGGGAGTCTGCTCCAGTGCTGTAATGTTTAGTCAGAATCTCCTTTCTTGTCATTTGAATCCATTGGTTCAGGCCCTACCATGTGGAGCAGCAGAAGCAGAAGAAGCAGAAGACACGCTTGCTGCGTCTTCCATGTGACAGCCTTTGAGATATTCGAAGATACCTATCATATCTTCATTCAGTCTCATCTTCTTCAGGCTTTGTTGTTTAGTCGTGTCCGACTCTTCGTGACCCCATGGACCAGAGCACGCCAGGCACTCCTGTCTTCCAATTCCCCCAACTGTTCCTCATAAGGCTTGGTTTTCAGACTGTTTGTCATCTTGGTCAATATTCTTCTCAGACTGTGGTGCCCAGAACTGGACACAGTAGTTCAGATGGGGTCTGGCCAAGGCAGAATAGAGTGGTACTATTACTTCTCTTGATCTAAACACTATACTTGATGTAACCTAGAATTGCATTAACTTTCCCACCTCCATGCAGCATCACAATGGTGGTTCATGTTAAGTGTCATGAGCTGGAAGAAGAGGATCCCAGTGAGGGGTGCAGCTGGGCCAGTGCACAGGAAGCCAAGCAGTGGGACCCAGAGAGAGGCCCCCATCCCCGAGAAACCACCGTCCCCACAAGCACGCCGTATCCTGAGATGTAGGGAACAGTGGGTGGAGCACTCCAGGAAGCAGAGGCAGTCCAGGGCCTGCAGCCTAGTTCACTAGCTGGCCAGGTGGGGAAGGAGGCCTGTGATTCCTCAGCTGGGGCAAGCAGAGAGCAGGTGAGGGTCACAGGCCTCATCAAGCCCAGATGCTGCAATCAGCAGACACAGGAGCAGAAGGCAGCAGAGCTGAGGTGCTGTGTCTGCTCAACTGCCCACATTGAGGGACCTTGTTTTGGATGCTCCTGGACCTCCATGGGTTTCTCCTTCAGGCATGATGCTGGACTGTATCCAGACTTGAATTGCTGCTGCACCTTGTTTCCTGACTTTCAGCCTTCGACTTTAGATTTTGAACTGTGGACTTTGCAGATGCTGATCGACCCTGGACCTCATTTCCTGACCTTCGGCTTTCGACTTTGGATCTCAGACCGCGGACTTTGTGGATGCTGATTGACCCTTGGATTTTGGGCTTGATCTTGGCATGCTGTCTATCTGCCAGGTAAGCCAGGACATTAAGCTTGTGATCTGTTAAGAGTCCTAGATCCTTTTCAACGATACTGCTGTCAGGCCAATCCTACCTGATTCAAAAGTAGTTTACCCTGGCGCCCCTCCACACAACAGAATCTCCCTGCACATGTTAAACTAACATGTCATAATGAGACTTGGCCAGAAAAGGTTGGCTACTGGGAGCTGAGCTAGTTCACTTTCCCTTGCCACACCCAACCAGGAAGTCAATAAATTCATTTGCAAGTGTCTGAAATTTTCCTTGACCCAATAGAGTTGCATGTCAACTGAAAAAGGGACTACTCTGGACCTCACCAGTCATCTTTTTATGGTGGATCAGATCTCTATGCTTGGCTTATTTGTGGTTTCTGTTCAGTTGCTGCTTCTCCCAAAACCAGGTGTAAATTTGTGTTTGTGGTGGAGCAACAATGGATGAGTTCAAGGGAATGCTCTTTCCCCTAGAGGTCTGGCTGGAGGAGGTGAAATGAGCAGACTCAACCCCAAGAATTATTATTACCACTAGAAGAGGTATCAGTAGTCCAAGCTATTATGGTGTTGATTCTTCTCTCCCACTAGTTGTAAATCAGGAGACACTCAAGTGAAGTCTGTGGTGTTGACAGGACTGTAAAATTGGTATGAGTAGGAGGCCAAAGCCCAGTATGTGGTGGAAAGTGAATAGATCAACATGGGAGATAATTAATATGATGTGGCTTAGTGCAACTGCACTACAGGAAATTGAGCCCTTCAGCACAAAGGATGTCATATTAGGTTAAACTATTAAAGTGGTTGGGGTGTAAGGCAATAATTTAATCAGGGGAATATGCACAATCTGGGTACCAAATGTTGAAGAGCGGGGGGAAACCCTTTAAAGTTTGGGGCTTGTGATGACATACGCATTGCAGAATACAGATGGTGGAATTCGAGTGCTGATGCCAAGTGCTATGTTGTCTTGGATATCTGAATGCACATTTTTCTGTAGAGGCACAATTTTTAAAGAGATTTTATCCACCTGCTAATCCCAGAGTCTTGTTAGATTACATTAATTACAGCTAGGGGAATATTTACATTTGCTAGTTAAGTCCAACAGGTTCTGAAAAATGTCTTTAAAATGTATAACTTTGCTTAGATAGCAACCTATCTAAGTCCATCACAGAATGTGCTCAATTCACATGCTCTGATGCCACAGCAGAACAATTGTTTTTGAAGAAATTCTCTGCCAAAGGTACATTTGCTTTAATTCTAAAGTGACCTGTACTGTACTTACTGGAGGTGATAAATTGTTCAGGCTGGTACTCTTTGATACCTGGTGGCTTACAAAAGCAACTTTTCCTTTGGTCTGTGTCAGTGCTGGTGAGGACTGCATTCATCTGTTTGCTGACTTAACAGTTGGGCATTTCCTTCTCTCTGAGTGTTGTGTAGACCTTATGGAAACCAGAGATAGGCTAGCAGGGTAAATCATGCCTCATATCTGAATTACTGAAATACCGGCATATTGCTGCTGCTGCTGCTGCTGCTGCTACTTATTAAATTTCTATACCACCCTTCATCCAAAGAACACAGGGTGGTTTACAATATAAAACACAGGATCAGGACTGAAATAAGGGAGACGTGGGGCAAAACATGCTATTCTCCCATGCCAGTCTCCTGATGAAAATCACATCTCAAGCTGCTATTTTCTTGGAAGGGGAGGATAGTAGCAGTGGTAGCAGTAAGTTTTTCTTTGAAGGGCACATAACTTCATGGAGCAATTTCATCAGGGTTAATTCCCCCTCCCTGCCCCCGTACCAAGGTCCTGGTCCACTAGGAGTTATCTGAATTGGAAATAAGAGTTTTTCCTTAGAGCCAGGCTTCAGAATGCCTCCCAGTGAAATATATCCATTTGGAATTAGCAAAACATTTATTTAGTGCCTTTAATTCAATTACAATTGCATGTTCAGATAGTCAAGGACAGCAGTGACCAGCTGTTCATTGGTATAGAGGCCAGGACCAAATCTAGATCTTCACTTCCTCCTGGGAAGTGACGGCTTTCCTGACCAGGGTGGCCGTGGCTTCTGGACTGGGCTGAGTATTATGCATATTCACTCTATTCCTTTAAAGCACATTCAAAGCACTTGGATAATTCTGGTCACTGTAGTTTACCTCTCACAGAGTTTCAGTTCCAAGCAACCCATAACGAACTACAGTGCCCAGAATTCTTTGAGGGAAAGAATGTGCTCCGAATGTGCTTTCAAGTTACAATGTGCACACAACCCCTGTCTCTCATCCATCTGCAACAGAGATTGGAACAAAGGTCTACTTTGATTGGAACAGAGATCCATAAGACTGGGGTGTCCGATGCTGAAAAGCAAACCACAATTCCCAGACTGCAATTAGCAGTGTGATAGGATCAAAGCCTAAGATTATTTTGAAATTATTAATACTAATGAAAGGCTAAAAAAGGATTGCTGGGGTTTTATTATTTCCAATAGTTTTCATTAGCTGCCCTCGGTTGATTGGATATGGGAGGTTTTATTTACCCCCCCCCATATATATATTAAATAAAATAAAATTACATAGGATTCTATTAATGGGGTCTCTTAAATGTTATGCTTAGAAAATACAGTTATAGAATCAGATGTTACCGCTGGATGCCCATTTGCACTATTGCCCTCTGATGGGTTGAAACAGAACTGTTCATATGTTCGCTGTTTACCTTCTAAACCAAGTAGCACACTTTCAAAGAGACTCACAATCTTTTATAACAGTTAGTAGCGATCCCTTTAGGGTTCAAGCCATGATAATTGTGAATGAAGTGCTGGTGCCCGCACTGTGGTGGCTACAAGCCTACAACCAGAAATTTGTTCTTTCTGTGTGCAGCTCCCAAGCCACTGGCAGCCATGTCCTCATGCAAGAATACAGGCCTGCAGCACATTTAGGTGACACGTGGCTGTAGCTGGCTATCATCTGAGGCAGCAAGGAAAAAGGAAATCTGCACAGCATTTGTCCTGCTACTTTTTTGGTCCTGGCAAGGGGAAATGTTTTCCACAATCACTCAGCGGTTTGCCCACTCTCTGCACTTATGCACCTTACCTTTACCTGCTGGCTTTCTCTTTTCCCACATCATCTGAGGCAACTGTGCAAGGCAACCTGCAAGGCAAATGCAGAAGTCCTCCCTGTGCATATGGAAGTGAGAAAAGGCACACATGCCACACGCCATCTCTTGCGCTGCAAAATAGTTCGGAGCTTATGTAACTACAAGGCATATTGTCACTCAGCATTGTATTACTGAGCCTCTTGCAAATAAAACAACAGCAGTTTTGACACACTGAGATGCTCTTTTTTCCGAAAGCAACCAGCCAATTATAAAACTGGTGGCCTTAAAAAGCAGGGAAAGCAAAGCAAATGAAAAGTAATTATTGTTAATGTGTGCATTTTTCAATGGATCCCCTCTCACTGGGTGTATGACTCTGCACACAAGAGTGGCATGTGCCTATGAAAGGAGGGGTGAAAAAAGGAGTGAGCCGCACAGTCCAGCCTTGTGTCTTGGGAGAATGAAGAAGCTCCCCATAAAGGCAATTGGTGGGAGACTTGGAGAGACACAAAATTGTCAAGGTCAGCCAGAGGCTAATGAGGGGCCTTGAATAGTGCAGTTGTGTTGCCCCAATTTCTGCCTATCAGAGCAAGTCAGGCTGCTTTATTTTTGAAGTACCGTAACCAAAGAGGCTCCAATAATATTGATGGGTAACCCTGCCAAATTTCTAGAGTGTGTTCAAGATAATACAGGGCATTTTAAGCTGAGTACTTAATAAAGAGTTAAATGGATGTGTGGTTCCCAAGGGAAGCCTGCCTCTTCCTTGCCCAAGGGCATAAATATACCAGTTGTTTTCTAAGCGGGATCTTTGACAGCTGACGGGAACGCACACGTTCTCATTTTCTCCCCTTCTGTGATGCATCTCTGACGGGGGATTTCCCCATTGTTTAATTAGGAAGGCGCCATTCTCACAGCTACGGCTTCATTCAGGGGAGCTCAGCATTTTTCCCATTCCAGGCCTGTATTTTAGGAAGAAACAGTAGCAATACAATTAATCTTGGGCTGACAAATTGGCAACTGCTAATTGAGCCTGATAATATGTTGCCTCTCCCAGATAACGGAATAACGTAAAGAAAAGAATATGTTTGAAGGATGGAGGAAAGGGACATCTACATATCTGGGATATCTCTCCCACAGAATAATGTATTTCTCATTTAAATAGGAAATGAACAAAAATTATATACATATTTTATCCTGTTCCTGCTCATGGTTCCGTGGATATGAAGGGGGCCCCATGTGTCCCTGCTTTCTCCCCACCCACCCCACTTCATGCTCCCAGCGAGGTGCTTTGCTTCTGCATCAGTTGTGCTCCAATGTGCCCAACCACTCCCAATGCCATGAAATCTCCTGCCACTCTCACATCTGGCGATCCACCAGCCTAGTCCTCCCCGGGGCCTCCAGGCTCTCTTCTCAAAGAGCCCAGTGGTGCTGACCCACAGCCCTCTGGAGGAGTGGGCACCTGGGAAGCACCTGGGGCATTTCAGGGGAATGGCCATTTCTGATCAAGAGGGACTTCCCCACATAGCTAGTGGACTGCAACTCCAGGAGCCAGCAGTGTATTTAAGCCTGTGGGTACATTTGGAGTTTTGAGGGGGTTTGCCATGGGTACCACCCCTTCTTATCGCTGGTCTTGTCCCTCCCCCCTCAAGAAGAAAGGCAGCGCACACCACCTGATGTTCCAAGAGGATCTGGATAAACGCTTTATCCAGTAGAAATTGGAATGAGTGCCACTCTTTCCATGCACACCACCTTGTGACCAAGGGGGCAGGAAATGAGGTGCTCAGAGGCTTTGTGGGGACCACTGGAAGACACCCCCCAGTGCCACACCAGCAACCCCTGATGTGGACTTACACTATTCACACCATAAGCACAACTTTGCTGCTTCCCAAAGGGGTCAGAGAAGAACTGGTGCCAGATAACAGCACAGAGCATTTCTCGCATTGGAGTGCTTAATAATAATAATAATAATAATAATAATAATAATAATAATAATTTATTTATACCCCCCATCTGGCTGAGTTTTCCCCAGCCACTGTGGGTCGTTCCCAATCAAATGTTAAAAACAGTACAGCATTAAATATTAAAAACGCTCACGCATTACCAGTCCTGCATGGAGAACTATTACAGGGCACAAAATCATGCAGTACTCATATAAAACCAATGAATGTCCAATTCTGCCTTTAATCTAATGCCTAGCTATTCCCACACTACAAAGTTATGCAACCACAACCACTTCCATGACTACATGAGTAGGACTAATATGAGACACTGCCTAGAGTCAGACTGACTGGCTGACAACGCCCCAGGAGGGCAGGGAAGCAACACTTTGCTGGAATTTCAATTGTATTCGTGGCCACATCTAGTGAATGGTGAGGCCCAGCCCAGTTGAGGGAGCCAGTGAAAGTGCCTTCATATCTTCAACAAGGACTCTCAGCCCTAGGCTTACTTCAGCTTCATTCCACCTACTCCAGAGGCAAGAGCTTGCTGCTTCTGACAGGGCCAAAACTGTGCAGAGGTGGACCAAGACACTAAGGACCCTGGCATGTTCCCTTTTGCAAGCCCTGCTCTCTACACTCCATCCAGGACTGCTAAAGGGGACTCCTTGCACAACCACTCCCTAAAACTGGAGAGGGGCAACTATCATTTTATATTTATTGCACCAGTTGGTTTCAAAAATGAGGAGAGGCTTTTTGTTTTTGCTTTTTCACAGCGATAATGCATATTGTATTCCTATGCACCTGGGCTTTTAGATAAATCAGTGTGCATTGGCTTTGAAAGAAACCACGTCCCAGAAATAGAAGCAATATCCGGACTGGCCATCAGTTTATTCTGCTCCATCCAGCCTCAGCTGATATACTTCATATGCCTTCTAAGCTGAATCCAGGCCAGGACATCTTTATCTTTTGACAGAACAGCAGCTAAATGAGTGCAGGGAATTGTATATGCTGCTTCCCACAGCATTCCAGGATCCATGCAGGAAGTCATTGATCAGCGAGCCGGAGGCAACGTGCATTGGAAAGGTATGCATGTGGCCCAATGGCCTTGAAAACATTTGCTCAGACAGATCTTTATCCAATAAACTGAAAGATGAGGCTAGGAAGAAGATTGCACACACAGAGAGAGAGCATTAGAGCTCGCAGGATCCTTTCCCAGCAGAATCCATTACATAAAGTGATGAGTGTTGTCTATATTTATGTAGGTTCTGCTGAATATTTGCCAGTTTTGATTTTTATGTTGGAGATAGAGATTTGGATGGAGTGCAAATTTCTTCTGAAAAAGCACATGTTCATCCTTTCCCCTCCTGGCTGCTTATTAATTCTTCTTCTTACTAAATTAGTCACATGGGCACTCCCTTTCAGGCAAGGATGGTGTCAAATTTGGCCGTGTGATGGCTAAGAAACAAGTGGGGGCAGCTTAATGCTTGGCAAGGAGTAAAGAGAAGGATTTCCCCCACCTCAATACTGCTGAACATTTTCACATAAACTGGACGGTGGTTTTGGTTTAAAAAAAGAGCTGGTGATTATTTGAAGCATCTGTAAAGTAGACAGTCAAGCAAACACTTGGAGCTTAGTCATATCTTGTTACAGGCCAAACAAACTGGAAAAATGGCTGAGGAGTCACAGTCTTTTCTTCCTTTTCCCTTCAATTAAACATAACATCTCAAATAACCTCGGCTACTGTTTGGGGTTCCTCAAAAGCTTGTGAAAAAGCAACATGCCTTGAGAAAAAGGTGTTTCAAGAAAGACTGAAAATTATACAAGAACTTAACCATTGAGTGAATGAGCGCTAAAAGCAAATCCTCATTCTAGTGCAGTCTACCAAGAACTACAAATTACTAGGAAACTTTGCATTGAAAAGTGGTTTTTTATCCCCTAAAATATGCAAGACAATGAGCCTTTCTGCACGTGCATTTTATAATGGTATAGCGGCTGTTTGATCCAATACCGTTTGCACCTATGGTGACTTGTAGCTGGCTGAGGGGTTGACAAAGCTATTTAGGTTGTGGGGGATCCTCCAAATGAGCAGCGTCCTGACCGAAAATTAGCCACCCTGATTGGAAAGAGCAAATTGGAAAGAGCCCTGGTGGAGTATCTGAATGGCAGTTACTGGAGGGTGTTCTTGTCCTCAGGTTCTGCTTTTCCACCTCTAGTTGTGTACTTTGAAATCAATGTACCAAATGTGTTTTAATTTTTCCTGGGTGATTCTTGGATCTAAGTTACTGTGGGAGCCTAGAAAAGGGCATGGGCTTGGGAACAGGCCTCCACAATCCAAGGCCGACTCTCCCTCCACCATAATCAACCTGACTCACCTTCTAGTTCCTTTTGTATGCGATCTGGTTATCACCCCCTTCCCTCAGTCAGTTATGTGCAAAAGAGAAGAAAGTGAATGTCCAGGTATATTAGCAACTATTTTGTGGTTTTAAAGCTAAGGTACTGTGTGGAGTTCTGGATCAGGCCCCAAAGTACAGCTTCTAAATGTTAAATAGAAGCGAAGAAAGAACAGTAAATTTTCAGCCAATATTTGCCTTGGGTGAATTATTACTACAGTTACATCACGTCTTAAGCAGGTGCAAGGAAATTTCTCCTAAAAGTATATACTCCAGAGAGTGAGGATCTGAGGGCTAAGCAGGAAGCAGAGCAGGAGGAAAGGAAGGAAAGGGTAAGGTGGGGAGCCGGGGAGGATGTGTTTCTTTGTTCTGGGATGTGGCCAACTAACTAGCCACCCTTAGAGTTCTATGGCCCCCAAGAAAGATACCATATGTTTGACATGGTGAGCCTAAAATTTGTTTCCAAGCAGTCTGTTAATCATTTAACAGCATAGTTGCTTGGTTTGTCCTACTGCAATGCCAAGCTGACCTAAGTTTTCACAACACAATGAATTCATTTCTACTTTGGAGTACAAATGGGCATTGTTAGACTTTAGGGCTTGCTTAATATTGCAAATTGTTCTGCTTGCTTTTGGAGGTTTCTTGGATACAGCGTCTCACCCTTGGGCTGTTCCTCCTGTTCCCTGTAGAGGTTTCTGGACCTCTGGTAGACCTTGCCTCCAGTAGGATCTTGAAATGTGCCTACAAAGACGTGCTAGATTCTCTTTTAACAGTTTGTCTTTCTCTGGGCTTTTTTCCCAGCCAGAACTC